TGTTCATTTGATTACTTTTTATATTAACATGAAAACAGGCACAGATCCAGACAGTCATGTTACTTTGCCAGTATAAAAATATTACGGAAATAACTATCACATATTGCTTCCCTAGATTATATAGGTCAATTATTCTGCTTATGGTTGCTGAACGTGAAAACTGTAATCTCATTCCTATCCCACTGAGGCCAAAGGAAGACTCCAGGAGGGAGTACAGACATATGCAAGAGAGGTATATTATACCAGGTCACTGAGACAAACAGAAATAATTAGAGAAAAAAGATTAAAACCTTCTGTCACACATATATGGTATGGGTGTCATATTTTGTCAGCTTTTTCCTATCCCAAGGAGATATCAGCAAGTCTGCTGGAGAGTGGGTGTTCTGTGGAATGAATTAAAGGTGTCTGGAAAAGGCAATACAGAAATCTAGCAAGAAACTTTATTGAAATATGCTAAAACTAAAAGAGGAGAAACTATGCACAAGTGAGACTGTAGTGGGCGTCACACCCCTCATTCCAAAAACACAATTAACTTTCATTCATATCCTGCCAGGAGCAAAATTCTCTTCGATGTTACATATCAGTAGTGGGACAATTATCCATGTTCTCTTACTCTACTTTTGAAATAGCTTAAATATTATTACTTGAGAAAGGAGGTATATCAGTGATTTCTCCCACCTCCCTGCACCTTGTAGCCACTAACCAAGGGTGAGATACTCACTGGTGTGCTCCGCAGTCTCTTGCATTACAGAAAATGAAGTAACTAGCAGAATTAAGTTTGTCAGGAGCAGGTATGCTTGGGGAAACATCAAGGAATGTAATGAAAGAAGTATGAATTCTTGGGAGGAAGGAATCTATATGGATTTTAGGCCATCCAATCCAAGCCTGGGCAGATGGGTTACGTTGGCAGACGGCTCAGACATTGCTAATTCACTTAAAGCAGCAGCAAGACGACTGGTCTGCTGGGTAATTAGCACTGAAATTGCCCCTGGCACCACAGCCTGTGGCACCCTGTAGTTAGGAGGTTTTCAGATTAGTGAAGTGTTTTTTTCCTTTCTAATTTCTATGTAGGGATAGCTTATGCTTTTGCAAACAGGAGTCCAGCCAGGCACCAGCTCGTACACAAATCAGAGCTGAGCGACGCTGGGGTTTGTGTGCACACCATGGACCTCAACACGTTACACGGCCAACATGCCACACACCAGCCAGCTATTTACCAGATTGATTTCCAGGGGAACATCAAGCTCTCATTTCTCCTTCTCCCTCCTAGTGTTCCCTGGAAAAGGCTATTTCTCTTCATGAGAACACTACTTTACCACTCCGCACTTCTATAAATAATTCCCGGGACGCGATTAGATAACCCCCCTTTTCCAGGATGACCCTCCTGAACAAGCCATGGGGTTTCTCGCTATCCCATCCATGGATCCCTGCTTTGCTGGCTGAACCTCTGGCCAGCACAAAAAGCCATGTCTCTCTGGTCAAGGAGCAAATGGGATTCCCTGCAGAGCCTTTACAGCTGCCAGACTGTTTGGCAGAATGTAAAGGCACACAAGGCAACACCATCCCTCCCCCTCAGGGAGCACCTCAGCCTGGGGGATGAAACAGTAGCAAATGTTAAAGAAATGGGGAGCACAAATGAGCAGAATGAATCCCTGTGCTCTCAATACTACAGGTTTAGAAAGAAGAAGTGGTATGGTGAGGCTGTGCTATTACCACTAACGGGATATAAAAGCAGTATCATCACTTTTGGTCAATGATTTGAGAACTGTGGAAATGAAATTAATTCTTCTTTTGGACAAAAAGAATATAGACAAAGTATGTTTTATTGTACAAGGTCAGCTCGACCTTTCTAATAGACTACCATTTGTCAAGCAGTTTTCTTAAGTCCTGATTTGAAGTCTTTTACTGTAGTACTGCATAAGCTAGAGGTAATCTAATTTGCTCAAGGTTTTCAAAAAGTGCAAAAATAAAATTCCTGACCAACAGAGAACTCACATTTTGAGTAAGTCTTATAGAATGACAGCTAAATATTTACAATACTGGTAGTATTTTCCAGAACAGTTTAGATGTTTCATAACTAAAAATAAAACACCTTAATAAAAATTTAGTAATCATTACAAGTTTCTTCTATGGGTTTGTGTATCCCTAGAATTTGCATTAGGTGCACCAAGGGAATCATGATAATCCTGTTATCTGCAGGCAGCTAACCGCAACTGACCAGTAGTAAACACTCCAAATTTAAGATTGAGGACATTAATAAAACAATTTAGAAGTAACTGTTATGTATACAAGAGCATAATAAACAATTGTGACTCTCCAAGAACATATCTCCAGTTGAAGAGTTTACCAGAACAACTGTTAGCCTGTCCTACACCATATGTATGATGTAGTCAATTACTTTATCAACTCCTTTAATTAAAATTATATTTTTCCTTTCATTTTTGACCTAGTGAAAAATGAGAGCAATGTCATAATTCCCCAGGGCAGCCAGATTTTAAGTATTTTCTTTGATATGCCCCATGCTAGTTTTTAAATTCTTCTCTGTAAATCTACAATTTTGTGCATGTAAATCTTGATGGCAGCAAGCAACTTAACTCTGCTTTTCACTCCTCTTACAAATATAGACTGCACTGCAAACATGGCAATAGCTGCCCAGACTGACAAGGGTCAACATGGACTAGCAGAAAGCTCCTCTGAAGAGACGACCAGAAAAGAATACACTAAATGCAATTAAAAAAAGAATTATGTGACAGCTTTTCTTCTCCATGGTTTGTTCTGCTTTACTTAATTAGTTAAAACCAGAAACATTTAGATACTACGCTGAGTAATCTGTAAGGCAATGTTGGTTTGGTATTTGCTGTTATTTGTTGGTTTAAATAAGGAAAAGCTATCTTTTTATTATTATTTCATTATTTGCACTATTTTTATTAATTGCAGGATGAAAAGTTGCTTAAAACCTAAAGTATCTAACAAGGAAATCAAGTCAAATCCAGAGCACCAAAACCAGCACAGAGTCACTCATTTTATGCAAGGGATTGTAAAATGTGCTTGCCTGTGATGGCAGGGGCTGAGTTCAGTGCCCCAGCAGAGCCCTGCCAGTCTCATTCCTAGCTGGGTAACTTCTTGACACACACAGCAGGTATGGAGTGCAAAAAAACCACCAAACAACTCCCCCCCACCCCAAACCAGTAGGCTTCTCTGCTTTTCCTGCCAAGAGTAGGCAAACAGCATCTCTTTGTGCACACATGGATGCTGTTTGCATCGCCTTTGCATTTTAACAAATCCCACGCTGATCGTGACCTATGCAGTGTATGGAGAGAGAAACTGGAGAACTTTTCACAATAAAATTAACACACAGTAGTAATATATATATTCTATTATTGTTTGTCTCCATGACAATTCTAACATGAACTGTAAACTCTGAATTATTCTAGCTCTTCCTGAAGCAGCAGCATTATTAAGCAACTAAACAGTCGTCCTTAATCTAATTGCACAAGTTAGCAATTCAATTTTATATTTGCTGTTTAGTTGTTCCCATTAACCTTTAGACCCCCTTAAATGACTAAACCTGTTTTTTAACTAGGAGCAGCTCAGTACTATGTAAGCCCCAACGTTGCATTTCAGTATTGAAAAGTCAAAAAGATTACAAATGCCTTCTGATTAAAGCTCAATTTTTAACTTTAGGGATAATTCAGCCTTTATTTAAATTTAAATCTGAGATGTATTCACTTCTCATTTGTTTGATTTTACCCCATCAGCAGGTTCCAGGATGGATTAGTTTAATTAGCAGAGAAATTAAAATGTCTTGGGCCCTCCCAGATTAAGATATTCTACGATATATGACTTTCAATATTTACTATCAGAGTATCAAACTCCATTATTCAAGATACAGTTCTGTCCTGCCTAAATTTCTCATGTAATTATAGATCAAAACTACCAGCACTGTTAAGAGTTATGAAATTCTCATTATACTCAGGTACTTATTTGTAGTGGCATAAATACACAATCATACCCTTCATCACACCCAAGCAACCAGCAGCAAAGGAAATGAACTACATAAGGACAATTTGCACATAAATATGTATTTATCTTACATTTATTTATACATCACATATATATAAAATCAACAATGCCCCACCATAACTAACCTACCCAAGAACATGTCAGATCACACACACAGATTACAAACTGAGTGGACTTGAACTGAAAACTGGAGCTTTCAGTTTCACCAAACAACAACTTCCTAGGCCAGCTAAATGTTAGTTAAATATCTGAAGACAAAGAAAGTAACACATGCAAAATAATTCACACTGCACCTCAAATGAAAAAAATAGTGCAGTACCTCTCATCCTCACATAACACTTTGTTCATGTGATACTCTTCAAAACCCAACTTCTAAAAGAATTTGTTGGGAATAACAGCTTCTCATTAAAGCATTTAATATTGGTTGAGATAGAAAACAAACAAATAAAAGAGTATAATCTGTGTCTCTAGAACAAGTGAACAGCCACTAATTCAACAACTTTAAATATCAGTTGCACAAGCAAAAGGCTAAAACAATGCAGAAAGGGGGTACTCCTCCCCCCATATTTTTGTATTCTAACCAGAGATAAAATTCTTAGCAACATGGAAGTTTAGGAGATGTGGTACAGCCGAAAAATGCTGCCACTTCTTTATTTTCCTGCAAAATAATTATGGTAAATTATGTTACACTGTATAAAACTTCTGAGAAGTTTTTCTGGCCAGAAGCATTGCTACTGCTGAAGTTGCTTCAACAGTCTGTGATCATCCACAGAACTGTTTTCTAAACTACTGTCAGTGTTGCCCATTACTGTCTACAGTGAACTAAGAAGTAGTTATCATTATTTCAAATAAAAATACTGCAAGGATTATGACAAATAAGGCAGTGATATGGGTGTCATTTTTTATGCTATTTCTTTAGTCAAATACACATTTAAAAACTATTTCAGAAACTTTAAACTCTTAAAAAGAAACCATACCTGATACTCTTCTGTTGTATCTGTTAACAACTGGAGCTGAAAAAGAAAAAAAATCAAAATTACACATTTGTGTTGATTATTACAAAGTCATCATCTTGATTAATCATTATTATTTTTACTACACCAATCCCATACAAACCTCAAAAAAATAAAATGTTTTCATCCACTTACTTGCCAGCCAGTGCTTATTCAACATTAAACTGCATATTCCTGAAAGCCATTACATGCTAAGATGACTGGTAAGAGCTTTGGGCTTCTCTTTTACCTAGTTCTGAAAAAAATACACCTTTACACAGGTTACTCAATCTTAACCTACCATCAGTTCCCAGTCTATTTTACTTAGTATTATTGCACAACATTCCAGCACTTTAGGTTAGCTGTGCCTACTTAACATGGATCAAAAGCCAAAGGAACTTATTGCTAATCCCTTCTACACTCCTACAGAGCACAAGCTCTGTGAGTACCAAGGCAGTGCTCCCATAATAACTCCAGTCATCTATCCCTGACCAAGGCTGTCTTCCATAAAGGATTTAAATTGAAAAATTCTGAGATGGAGAATCCACTGCTTCCTTGCTCCTTTATTCATGCTGTTGGCTATACAAGGTACTTGAACTTTACTTTGGGATGAACTTCCTTTCACTGTTCACATACATTTTGACATTAAGCCAACCTTCAGCAAACAGCATCTTTGTCCCCTTCCCTGTAACCAAGTTACTGCCTTTGTGAGCTGCTTCAGTCTCAACACAAAAACCAATTAACCTGTAAAGCTTCACCCAGAACAAAACCAAAGCATTCTGCTCTCCTTCACCAACCAAACTAACAACCAAGGTAATTTTACTCTGAGTGCTTCATGCTTTCTCACTTCTCTTCCTTTTGATGGATAGTTCTATTTTTTCCTGATAAAACCAATGAACTTTTTATTCTATTCTTTAAACACTTGGGAATTAGATGAGCCCTTATATTCCACCAAAGCACATGCATCAAAAATCCAGATTTATTAAACACATGCTACTAAAATCTTAATGACCCCATCATGTCTTAGAAGTTACAAACTCTAGAAGTATCTTGGCACCACCAGAACATGTAGAAAGATGCTTTCTTAGCAAATACACAGGGGAAATCATCAGGGTAACTCCATAGAGTTTTCAGCCAAATGTATCAACAAGGAGACTGCTTAGCTTCACGAGAAACTGAGGATTAAAAGCAAGATTATTCTGAATTTTACAATTTAGATCTAGATTTAAACTTCTATGACATGACATAACCCCTATAAAAATAACCCTGACGCACTGTTTCATACATCAAGATTGAAGAGGTTCAAAAACACTGAATAATAAACCTGAGAATTCAGGCAACTTCATCTTCAAACCTTTAAGCAATTCTTGACAGCAGCAACCCTTCCTGCAAATAAGGGCAGCATAAATGTCACTTGCCAAAGGGCACCAGGGATGTGAGAACTTTCTCTCACCTTAAAGGGAGACAGGCATTGGGAACACAGATCCATTCAGGTTTATTAAACAAACAAACCTGTGCAACTCCCTGAACTGAAAGTGTTTATATATTTTGCCCTGCTCTTAACTTTTCCAGGTGGCTCTGTCTGTGGTCACCAGTGGTGACACAAAACTGCTCTGGACATTAAGGTGCCCTGCAGTGGTACATTCAGTTTCATCACTAGTTTAGTGAGCCACTTTAACTGAGTACTAAAGTTGGCAAACTGGGACCTCAAGAAACAGAAACACTCACCACTTTTGTCCAGAGACACAGCCTAGAGCCTACCAGTTCTAAGGTATTGAAGAACAAGAGGACCAAAGCCAATTAGTTCAGTTTCCACTACCAAGTGATTTATTACAAAAGAAATACTAAATTCAAAACAGAATTTGATGTTTGTTGTACAAGTACCTCATCAAGGTCATAACAGTTTCAAGTAAATGTTTAACTCCTCTCCTATATGGATTCAGACACTGTTAATCAACACCATTAGTGAGGAAATACATTGTTTCAGACTCTATGCAGAGTTTCTTCACTACTTTACGATTTCTACACCCATTTCTTACTCATGTTTAAGAATAACATTTTAGTGTCTTTGAGCAGAATTAATATACTACAGAAAACTCTGACGTACTTTGGATAACAGAAAAAAATCCACTCTTCAAAGCCTATGTCTTCTTTTAGAAACTTGATTATTTTATCCCATAGCAGGGTTTAGTGTCATCAAAACTGCATCAAGTTTTCCAGTGTTAAAAATGAGAAAAACACATAACCTTTTAAGGACAGTTAGGAGAGCACTATTATTCTGCCTCCACAAAGCTTTTAAGATCAAAATGATAGTTTGCATTTCTTACACCAGTGACAGTTTTAACACGTATAAAATTCCAGGTTCACTTTTATATGTTGTCAGAAGATGACTATTTTTATGCTAAAGAGAAAATCTGACATTTCCTACTAGAGAATATTAGTTGGATTTTTTTTTTTTTTTCCTTCTGGTTTACCAATGAAAAGCTCTCTTTGCTTATGACTATTTTCAGTATTGCACAGTCACTACAGCCACTCCCATGGCATCCTTGTGTTTTGTCATTAGAAGTACGTGGAGAAAAGCCTGGAATCAAGGACTACTAAGAGAACAGCTCCTGAAGGTCCCACATACATCTACATTAGTCTGTGGACAGATTCCAAAAAACTAGATGGGGCAGAAGGGAATAATACATTGACAGTAAACACAGTTCATCTCTTAGACTGAGCTCTAAAGGGCATCTAATTTAAAGCAATAGTGAGGGACACACCAATAACAACCTCTTAGACCAGCAAAGCCATCAGAGCGACCTCTACCTACACCATGACTAGAATCCTGAGAATCCAGCACATCAACCTGGTACCACTCAGCAGACCTGGGATCTACAAAAACAAGATGAAATTGCTGCTTTGAAACAGGAAACATTTCATTTTTTGTACCTCCAGTTAAAACCAGAACTGAATTCCCCCCCTGCACAGCAGTGGGACACAGCTCAGGTTGAACAATGGGCCATGTCTCTGGTAATAACACAAATGTTATTATACGTTAATTGCAGAAACTATAATGAGATTAAAAGATTTTGCTGTGAGATGATTGCATTGTAAACTCTCCGTTATGTCAAAACCTCAGGTGCAGCAATATTCCAGTCCAAATGTCTCATACCTCTGGCACAGTTCCTGCTTTTACTTGGCTCATGGGAACCAAGACACGGTAATTGGGTAAACACAACAAAAACTGAGTTAAATTAAACCATTGTACCAGAAGAGAGCAAAACGGCCCAATTTCCTCCCTGGCAGCCAAAGGCAAGTGACTCTGGCAGTGGAAAGGCAGATCAAGCTGTGCATTCCACAGTTTTGCCAGAACTGACTCAGGGCACTGATCCTACTCCACTGTTCAAGAAAAATGAGAAATGTCTACTGAACATGTCTGTGTTCTCCACACTGTCCTGAGGCACAGACTGAATTAAGCACTAGGTAGGAGCACTAAACGGGCTGTTTCAGATTAAAAAACCTCTCTTCCTCAAAGCAAAAGGTATGTCATTACATTTATTTAACAAAAAATTATTTGAATAATTTGCAGAAATAAATCAGCACCGTACATTTCATTACTTCAATTCACAAATGTACCTTACATCAAAGAACAGTACTGCTACACAGCTACACTATTACTTGTCAGTGCCTCCATTCCACTGGTTTCTCTCACTTGAAATATTAGGAATGTAAATTTCTAAATCACAGACTGGGATTTTAAAATATCTTTCAAAATACTTTCAAAAAGCACCAAAACAAGAATTTCTTCTAATTTTCAGTTTGCTTGGGCACTGAGATGTACTTTGAAGTATCTCATGCTGGATTTTGGTTCACTAAACTTAGCTTACAAGAGTTCTGATTATGGCTATAGGTAGGTCTAAAATTCAGCCTCACAGGTGAAAAATGGACAGAGATATTACCTCTTTCTGACACCGGCTTTCAAACCAAACCAACAATTAAAGTATTTAAGCCAAACAAGTGACAGTAAAATCATTCTTTACAATCAGACCTAAAAGCATGTTTTTCTTACAGTGCGTGGGCTCCCTTCTCTGTCAGTGACTTTGAAAAGTGACTAGTGAAAAAAAACCACCACCATCAGGCTTTTTCCAATGTACACTACTACCATCACAGGGAAAGCTGTTTCTCCACACTACTCATAAGCCTGAAACGAACACAAGTACAACCATCATTCTCCCAGCTACTGCTGTGCTCTTCTCACCTGTCCAAAGAACACTGAATTCTTACAGAAAGGACAAAGGAAACTCAAAAGATCAGTTCAGGGTCACAGGAAAAAAATTCAGGGACAAATGAATGACTGGCATTACAGGCACGATGTTACAGCGTTAGATGTATTGGATATCTTGAAAACTTATTCTCCTCATCCACAAGCCCTTTGTTTCTCAGTAGGAGCTGTGAACACTTCCTAATTACAACCAGGGTAAAAAAATCTCCACATGCTCACGTTTCTGATACTGGACACAATTCATAGCAGCAGACTAAGTTAAGCTATTGTGCACACAAATATGTAATAGAGATCTTTTGTGTAACTCTAATCAACTCAACAACTTTCTGTCAGTTTCCTGATGAAGGATGGAGCAAAGCTTATAGTAGGTGGCATAAACTCTGTAGTATGGCACTCAGAGTGCAAAGAGCATACGCACAAAACATCAGCTTTATTAAAACAAAGTAACATAAATCAGTGATTTTCAGAGTACTTTCCCATCAAATCATGGAACAAAATCATCCTATGTGAGCAGAGACAAAAAGAGAAACAGAATGTAAACTGTTCTAATATAACAAGTCAATTAAGATTATCCAAACAACAAGTGAGTTGACACTATAAAGCATTAAAGCTGAAATACCAGAAGCAGAGTGGAGAATAAATCTGAGGCGTGACTGTCTCTGTGGAATGTTGTATCAAGTTACGATAAGGAAGTGCCAGCCTACAGCTGTCAAACTGTTTTTCTACACACCAAGATGTTAATGGACTTACTTAG